CGGTGGGCAGCTGTGGCTGACCCCAGCCTCCATAATGGGGAGCCTAGAGAGATGCTGCCACCATAGTGAGCTGATGAGAAAGGGGTTAAACTGGAGGCGGCTCCCTCCTTCTCCCGGGTTCCTCTGTCCCCACCAGCTGCTCGCTGGTCTAGAGCCAAGCTACCCTCAGCTCAGAGCAGAGGGGAGCTGACCGGCTGGAGGAGAGTTACTGTCTCCAAATTTGCTCAGAATCTGAAAGGCATTTTGCGGACTAGTGAGGAAGAGATAAACAACATCCCCTGTAGAAGCAGTGCATGAGTGTAACTAGGAAGGAAACATCCACTCTCCTTGATTCAGACCATTGAATGGCAGGGAAATGAGAGGCTAACCCTTCATTTTGAAGATGAGAAACCTGAGGGCCACTGGGGGCAGGTGTGTGTGGGGTGACTTGCCCTAAGTCACCCAGCGGCCTAGCAGCAGGGCTGGGACCAGAACCCGGGATTTCAGGGACGCAGGATGTGGAGCCAGCGTGCTCTCTCACAGGTCTTCTGCGTCTGTGCAGAAGGGCCCAAGCGTCTGGCTGGGGAGAGTACAAAGCTGAGCATCCTTTCAGGAAATGACCTCGTGAACTCTGACTCCTGCCCAAACTGCCCTTCCCCTGCCTGGAAGGCCTTTTCCCACCGACCTAAATCCTTTTAGCCCTCAGCTTCTGTTCCTTGGTGTGGAATCGCACGTGCGCCTGAGCACCTGCCTGGGCTGCAAATGGGTGTGGTGACCCCCAGGGATGCTGCCACCCCTGCATCTCTGGAATTCAAGACTGAGCCCTCTTGTGTTCTTTTGGCTGCACATCAACCTGACAAGTAGGTTACACACACAAGAGGAGTGAGTCACATGCTCTAAATCACTCGACTAATTGGTCCAGTGGTAAAAGAACTCTTAACTCCTTATGCAGAAGGAATTCCAGATCTTTGGCAAAGCTGAAAGGTCTTCATCAAGACCCCACAGTCACCTTTTGAGCCTCAGACTGCCCTCAACCAGGGAAATGGTGTAATGGTAAATAAATATTGAACAACCAGTTCTCTGGTGCTGGTGGTAGGGAACAGCCTTGATTTGTAGTGTTTGCTGATCACTGTGGTGTAAACATTCCCACCATGAATGTTCTGGTTGGCCTCTGGTGGCCACAAAGCCTGCAGCAAATGAGGAGCCCTCTCTCCAGTCATGCTCAGAGGGATTAACACCCATCTCAGGACAGGAACCCAATCACAGAGGCTAGAGGGGGGTGGGGAGAGGCCTGCAGGAGGAGGCCCCAGGTTCTGGGCCCCAGGCTCCCCAGTTTCCTAGCTCTGGATCTTAGGCTCACTGCTAGCTTCTCATTTGTAAAGTGGGGTAACTTACCACCTGTGCTGCCATCATCTGAGGCTCTGGTGAGGATGAAAAGTAGAAAGGGCTGTGTGAGCAGGAGAGTTCCACACTGTTGGGAGTTACAGAAGATGAGAGGTCAGGCTGCGGGAGCAAGTTTTCTTTCTGTCATTTACAGACGGAGTGAGCGTAGGCAACTTACTTAGCCTTCTCAAACCTCGGTTTTCTCATCTGTAATATGGGTGGCTGAGATGTGTGTAGAAATAGCACCACCAACCCAGAGCATTGCTGAGAACAAAATATGGACCTACATCTTGTGTTCAGTGCCTCGATAAATACTGGCTTTATTATCATTGCCTATATCCAGACCCACAAAATAAGTCCCTCTATAAGGGTTTTACACAAACCTCCCAAAGGCCACCAGCTTGGTCAGGAAGGAGAGCAGGTATATCCGGATGGGTCCATCTGCAGGACAGTACCACCAGGGATGCCCCCCTTGCAGCTCCAGATGGCCCTGCCGGTTGCCCCCTCTTTCTCTCCGGAGCCAGGGCAGGCTGGCAGCTGGGAAGTGGGTGGAGACCCCAAAGACAAATTTTTCAGGGTTCCAACACCAGGGTGCTTTGTAACATTTTCCAGTGGGATTGGGTTTCTTGAGACTTCTTGGTGAGAAGACATGCAGTGGAAAGTTAAACTGTGGTGAGGAGCAGGTTATACAGTGAGGAGAAACTTCAGATCAAGCAAAAATCCTCTTCTCCCCCTCACAAGCCACAAAAGCTCTTTTTTAAAAAGTCTCCTCTGAGGAAGAGCAAAACACTCTTGCAAGGAAAAGACACAAAGAAGGTCCAAATAACTCATTATTTTACAATGTTTCCGAGGGGTTACACCCTCGCTGTGGAGGTTAGCACTGATCTGAAGCAGGTGCCACCTGCCATTTCAGCACTGAGGGGCTCTGGTAGGTAACAGCTGGCTGGGTGCGGGGCCTCTGGGGGGGGCTCATGACGAGGCAAGGGGAGAGGGGTGAAGAGGGGATAAAGCACAACAGCTCCTGAGAAAACAGTGTCTGCTTTACCTGCCACCACGTTACTCCCCTGGCTCAGCGTACCCTTCTCTGGTTCCCTCTCGCCTTTGAAAAGAAATGAAAAGTTCTTCACGGGGCTTGTGAGCACCAACAGTACAACTCTTCACTAGTCTGGCCAGCTAGTTAATTGCATGGGCTTTGGAGTCAACAGATGTGGGTTTTAATCCTTGGCTCTACCACAGCTCCACCAGCTGTGTGACCTTGGACTAGTTAATTAACTCCTCTGAATGCTTCATCCCCATTAATAAAGCGGGAATAATTACAGTCCATACTTCAGAGGGCTGCTTTGAGGCTAAAATGAGAAAACGTAGGTAAGATGCTTATACGAGACCTGGTGTTATATAAACAGTCAATAAATAAAATAAGGACAAATTAAAATCTTTTTATTACCAGCTTACCTCTCCAGCTTCATCTCCTGTCACCTCCCAGAATGCAGTTACCTAGAGGGATTAAATTGCTCACAGATTTAGACATGACACCGTACTCTCCCGTTTTAGGCATCCTACGCTTTTCTGTGCTTCTCACACAGTAGGCACACAGTAGGCACTCAATAATCTGCCAATCAAACGTTCGCCTGGAATTCCCTTTACACCTTTCTCCACCTGGCAAGCTCAGTTTAGAAGTCCCTGCTCCAGGAAGGCTGCCCTGAACCCCCAGGTGGGCTACATTCTCTTCCACAGCATCCTGTACACACATGCTTCATGGTATTTACCATGTGCTACTAAAAAACTGTTCATTCTTCCTCACTAGAGCATTATTAGCTCTTCTAAAGAGGGGCCAGGTCTAAAGCATATTTGCATCCCCAACACTTGGCACACAGTAGGTGCTCCATAAATGCTCAGCTCTTAAGTAAGGCCAGCCACCTGTCCCAGATGGAAACTGCATCCCAAACACCTCCCAAGACCCACTACCCTTCCCAGCAGCTTCAGGTTTCCAGAAGGTTCAGTCAACAGTCAGCCAAACCCACTTCCTGCTCCTTCTCCTGAGCTAAACCTTGGTTTTTGCCCCCTGGCTGAAAATAGAGGAAACTGGAGGAGGGGGAGTTTCTTGAAATTCCTGTTCATCAAAGCTACTGTTTGTGCTTCAAGGCATTGGTACTGTCTCCACCTCCTGGTCACCTAGGGCAGTAGAGACAGCAAATGCTGTACCTTGTTAGAGAAATCAGGAACTCAGTGACTCAGGAGCCTGAGGTGGGCCCTCAGACCTAGGCAGTAAACGTACACATACAGCCTCTGGTATGCAGCTTGTAAGAATTGTACCATTTTGTTTTTGTGCCACTCAGACATTAGCTTAAAGAAGGTAAGAATGAGGTACTCTACCAGTTCTTTCCTGTGGCTTTAGGACAGAACTGTCCTTTAGAACTGTCTTTCTATATGCTAATATGGCTCCCCTGGGGTTGCCTAGAGGAGCCCAACAGTTTAGAAGGAACTAGGCAGAAACCATCCCACTGGAGTCACTGAAGGGCTGCGGCTGTGTCCTCTGGCCCAGGGTCAGATGGGGGTGGGTGCACACCTGGTTTACACTGGACTCTCAGACACCACAGGGCTGACTGCTGGGCAAACCCGAGGGCTAGAGAAGACAGTGCTTTCTGCCAGAGTCCCCTGGTCCATCAGTGAGCACTCCACCTGGGGAGGCAAGAACTCCTCACGGGAGGGTTCTGAGGATGCTCATCATTCTGCTTTGCCCACCTGCATGCGGCCCAAAGAGAAGTCTTGCTGGGTCGGGGGTTCCGCTTCCTGGGTAGAGGCAGAAGGCTGTTCCTTCCCACAGCCTTGGAGCGGGGACCTAACACCTGACTCAAAGTGCTAAGAGAACAGTCTTAAGCAGAGGCTAAAATGACAATGAGTCTTAGGAAAGGCTCACGGGCCCATGATGGCAGATGTTGGCACACCGTTGGCTCCCACATCACCTAAAAATCAGTTCTGAGGCGCCTGCCTAGAATGCAAGCCCTACACTGCCACCCCCGACTCCTCAAGCTTCTCTGAAACAGTACTGCTCACTTCGTCTCAACCTGCCTCACATTGCCGGTTAGCTATTTCACATGAGTTTGTTTTGTCCTCTCCACTATAATTTAACTTCTAGAGGGCAGGGGCCTTATCTTACACATTTCTTCCACATTCTCCTCAGCATCCAGCACAGTACTGGGCACAAAGAGGGGACTCCAAAACAAGTATTTCATGTGTTAAATTCCAAGGCCAAGTGCCCATCCACAATTCTATCTTATCAATAAAAGAGATCTCCAGGAGGGCTTGCTTCCTTTTAAATGTCATGTCTTAGCTTTGGAGTCTCTGACAAAACTTGTTTCTGTTTTGGGGGCTCTGATTTTAACCTGTCTGTGGGACTTTACAAAGTACTCAGAAATATCCTCTTGGCAGAGAGAGGGTTTGGGTGGAAATGCCTCAGGACAGAGAGTGCCCTCGGCAGCCATTACCCAGCTTGCCCTCAGCCCAGGAGCCTGTCCTCAACTTCTCTCAGCCTCTGTGGGAAGAAGGGAAGAGCACTTGCAGTGAGGAATCTCGAGGTGTGACTCCCTGAAGTCTGAGGAGGAGGAAAAAGGAACAAGCGCTGCAAGGAAAAAGAGCAGTCGAGTTTCGGGGATCGATTTTATTTGGGCTTCTCACAGTGGTTAGAGCCACTCCGTCTTCAGAACAATCACAGCACAGGAAATGCGTCACCGAGACTGCCCAGAAAAGTCTGACCAGCTGAATCTTATTGCTTAAAATACACATATTCACAATAACTGACAAAAGGTGATGTGCCTCACACGGGAATGTGTTAGCATTTGCAAATCTTCCGACTGTAGCACCAAACCCTCGACCAACCCCTTTCTTCTCGTTCCTGGAACACCAGGCTCCCTCACATCTCCCCGGCCCCCTCCCGAGTCCTTCAGCTCCCTACTTCCGCCTTACGTCACGCAGGGTAGCCTCATGTAGCAGGGGCCAGACTGTGACGCTGGACTCAAGCCCAGCTCCACCCGTTGCGTTTTCTTCTTCTTGTGCCTTTTGGGTTGGATGCTGCAGTGAACCCAGCAGTAAACACGTGGACCAGTTCCCCACTCTGACTGGAGAAGGAATCCTGAGAGGGCCAGAATCCATCCCTTCGACCAGTTAACTCAAGCAGGGTTCATTTTGGTAAAACTTGATCTCCTTTGAGACACTTCAGTGAGTTGTTTGAGACAAAAACAAAAAACAAAAACCAAAAGGTGGCAGGAAAGGCATCTGAGGGCTGTGGCACACTTCTGCCCACTCTCGCCACACATCGGCCACGTGCTGGACCTCAGCACAGGGAGGTAAGCCCTATGGCACTGTGGTGGCCGCCAAACCCTCCTGGCAATTCTGGGCAGGGCTGACGTCTGGGCCACAGCCAGTCCGAGCTTGACACTGAAGATCCAGTCCAGCTTCTGTCTGAGGTTCCACCCTGGCCTTCTGTCCCGATTGGTTGTGGACACCCCCGGGGGCTGAGGCCGAGGGCCAGGAGCAGCCGAGGGAGGCAGACAGGCTCAGAGCACGTTTCCGTTTACAGGGAGCAGAACACAGGCCTCTGAGTGTCCACGGAGCAATGTGCAAATTGCAGTGATGGGTAGAGTAAAACCTCTACTTGGAGCACAGCGTCTCTGGCAAACGTGGGGACTGCCGCCGACAGCGCCGCTGAGTACGCCCAAGCGCACAGTCAGACATCTGCTCAGTAAACAGTAAATGCGTAAAATAAATTACCTTGAGAGGGCTGCACCTGCTCCAAACGTGTGGGTCACGTGAGCAGAGTGGCTGCCGTTCAAAGTGTATTCATAGGAAAACAGGGCTGGGGGCTCACACACAACGGACAGACACACACAGGTTATCCAAAAAGTCAATGTATACGGACTGCACTTTGTTCAACATGGATTTTGGTTTTGTGGACTCCAAACTCAGACACTCGTTCACCTCACAGCCTTGGGTTTGTCTATTTTGTGTGTGTGTGTGTATATATATACATATATACACACATACACATATATATGTGTGTATTCATATATATACATATATATACCTTCCTTTCTTACCATAACATCAATGCCTAGCCTGAATGTCATCGTTCAAGAGTGGGGGAAGAACCAAACTCTTCATATGAACAGGGCTGGACAGGGAATGTTAGTTTCAGCAGTTTGCTTTCTCCATTCAGATTATTCCTATCAAAGCTCAACTGGTTTTTGAAGCCAAACTACAATAATAAGGATCCTGTGGTCCTTCAGGATGGCTGCCTTCGCCCTCCTACCTGGGCCACTTAGACACTTGACATAGGCTACAAAAATTAGTTACCCCACTCAAGGCGGGGCGGAGCAGGGAAAGGGCACGAAAACCACAGATAACCAAGGCATTTTTTCCAAATGGTCAGTTTGAAAAAACAAACAAATAAACAAAACAACTTAGAATCAAGAGAAAATACTGTGTGAGAGTCAGGCTGTGGGACCGCCCTTTCTCAGGTCCCACAGCCTCCTCATTTGTTCATAGAGAACAGTGAGACGTGAAGGCCGGCAGACGTGTACTTGGGATGGGGGAGGGTACTGATCACCTGTGGGCACAGATCAAAAGGGCAGAGATGCGGAAAGCTGCACCTCTATCCACTGCCACAGCGCAGGGCCTTCTGCTCACCCGCAGAAGTTCCAGAGATAGCCCCCACCCAAGCCTGCACACAAAACATCTCCTTCTGGCTCAACTGCAGCCAGGACTCTTTGAAGGCCAAGTTGGGAAAAAGCCACAAATTTTCCTTTTCCAAAACAGAATTCTTGCCTGCCCACTGGTCAAGTTCTTATTTTCAGCTCACTTCTGTTGTTGTTTTTTTTCTTTAAAGAAAAAAACCAAAGAGAAGGCAGGTATAATCTTCCACACTTGAACCAGTCTGCGGCCAGCCAGGACCTGCTGGGAAGGGGCCCCTCCCGGATGCATCGTGCCACCTCGATCTTGTCACCTGGAATTTGAGAGCACAAGCCCTTTACCAACCCGCCACGCAACCGCTGGTCAGCTCTCATCTTCCCACAGGAGGAGCCCAATTCCGGCTCCGGAGACGCTGGCAGCGAGGGGTGACAATCCCCGGACCACTGGGGCTTCATCCAGGGCTGAGACCTGCCACCTGTCTCAGACTGAGAAGCAGCAAGGTTCTCATCAACTCACACCAGAACATGAATCCACTCCATCACCAAGAGTCACCTCAGGGCACAGTCTCATCCCCTCCTTGGGGGCTTCTGAAACGCACATCTCTCTGACCCAAGCAGGTAGTGACACGTGACTTGAAAAGAGATAAAGGGGGACGGGGTGGGGTATGAGGAATGAGTCACAGGACAACTTCTCAGCCCTCCGTGACACTGTATCTATGGGAGGCGAGGCACCCACACCCCAAACTGTACCTGGAGATGCAGGAAAACGCAGGAGCAGAGGGGAAAAAAAAAGGAACACAGTCACTTAATGCTTCTCTCATGGTTCTCCCCTACCCTGGTTGCGTCGCCAAGTTCTCGGGCGCAGGCAGGGCCTGCTCTAGCTTGGGGAGCTGCTGCTCTGGGAATTTGGGGAGTCCTGCTCGTTGATGGTGTTCAGCAGCAGGCAGGCAGGCAGCCGCGGCAGGTGAGGGTGCCCGGGCTCCCGGGCCTGCTCCTCGGAGGGCTGGCAGAGCCCTTCCTCCTCGTCGCCAGGGGGCCGCACGTGGCAGCTGTCGCAGAAGTCCAGGGTCCCGTCCAGAGCATCGTCGATGAGCGCGTTGAACTCTTTGAGGTCGTCATCATGGTGGCCCCGGTTGCACACACACACCTCGATGCCCGAGTCACCTGTGAAGCGGCGACGTCTGCCGGGCGTCTTGTCTTTGCTGTCAGGGAGGGCGCCGCCCTGCTCGGAGCTGTACTCTTTCAGCAGCTCCTCCTTACATTCGGAATCCTTGTCCAGGAAGGCCCCAGGGTCCACCTCCCCCAGGCCGGCCACAGAGCCGCTGGGCTCCATCCCGGGGGCTTTGGTGGCTGCTGGGTCTGCTGGCACGTCGGAGGGCTCAGGGTCAGCGATGCTCGGGGGTCGCGTGCTGCTTCTGCTGGGCCCGGACAAGGGGCTGCTCTGAGCCCCCTGGGAGCCCCTGGTGGGGTCGGCGCCCGGGGGGCTGCCGCCTGTAGGGCCACACTGTGCAGGCAGCTGCTGCTGGAGCTGGAAGGCACTGTATGGTGGGGGAGGAGTTGGAGGTCGGTTCACCACTTCCTCATAAGGAGGTAGTAAATAGTTTGGCAAAAACCCTAAAATGGGGAGGTAGGGAGGAGAAATTACTGCACTGGCAATTGTTCTAGGACAGACTGCAGGCTCACACTAAGCATATGTCTCATCCCACCCCCAGCATACCCACCGAGGGACAGCTACAGCTCTCAGGTGCAGGCAGGGCACAGGGCTGTGAACGACTTTGCAGAGAAAGGGGGGCAGATTGGGAGTGACAGCTTGTAGCTTCTGGAAATCTGAGAGCCCCTAAAGCTGCTTCACAGGCAAGGACTTCTGCTTGTCTGGAGTTAAGGCAGAGGGTTCAGCAAATGTGGTGAATGGCCAAGAGAGTTCTGTCTGGAAGGGACCTGTTTTCCACATGCACGCAAGTCTCATGTTTCTAGCTCAGACTGTGTCCTCCATCTGCATCCCATAGGCCTCAGGGTCAGGGACCCTAAGTTAAGACTTTCCAGATATGTATCATGAAGAGAGCCTTTTTCTGGGAGGCTGGAAAACTGTGTTGCCTCTCACCCTAGTGTGGCAGGAGGTGCTCTGGAAATACACACCAAACCTCATCCTGATTTGCATCGAGAGCGGGTGGCTTACCAGTAAAGGGTGAGGGGCCTGTCATCAAGGCTTGTTAAGAACATGCCAGGGGAGTTATCTTTTGCTTTGAGGCACAGATGACCTAATTCTAACAGTAATTGCTAGCATTTATTGAGCACTTACTATATGCCAGGCACTGAGCTAAGCACTTAACTCTTCTAGGTGTGGAATTCCAAATTTATGACTACTTTAGTCTGTAGAACACACAGAAGAATGGCTTTGGACAGGCTGTACTTCTGGGTCTCCACCGACCACTCGAGAGATCAGTGTAAGGAACCCCAGGGAGGGGCTTCCCTGGCGGTCCAGTGGTTAGGACTTGGCGTTCTCACTGACAAGGGCCCGGGTTCAATCCCTGATCAGGGAACTAAGATCCCACAGCATGGCAAAAAAAAAAGAAAAAAAAAAAAGGAACCCCAGGGAGTCAGGTGAGTGTGCCCTTCAGAGGGTCACTGAGTTTCTTGGTTCTCAGGAAGTCCCAATGCTACCCCCCACCGCTGCCCCTTTTGTAGCAGCCTCTGCTAAGGCATGTCACATGGCAGGAAGCAAAATGGGGGGATTTCAGGCCACTGACCTCTAAATCTCAATGCATTCACATCATACACCATACAACCACCTGCCTAAAAAAATCTGCCTAAACTAAAGGAGCAGAGATGTAGTCAGAACCCAGCTGGTGTGGACTGGAACAGCCCAGTGGCTGCCAGGGGCTGCATCCACAGCACTGGCTCCTTGGCGCTAAAGGTGTGCACCCCCTTGTTCCCACACTTGTGAGACCCTGCTCTGTGCGGGACAAGGAGGCCAACCCCCTGTGCCCACAGTCTATGTGTCCTGGGCCCCGAGGGTGGGGTTTGGTGTACGTACTGAAATAAAATGGCAGCGCTGAGTAATTGTGGGCTTCCCGGTAGGCGATCAGGTTGATTTCATGTTGCCGCTGTTGGGCCTGAAGGCGGTGCTTGGCTCGGCGGTGGTGGCACACGCAGCAGCAACTCAGGATAATGATGATGGTCCACACAAGCCAGAACCCTGGGGGCAGGGAGGCGAGACAGAGAGGAGTGGGCACACCACGAATGCCAGCTGGAGGGGCTGCTCTCAGCACAAGGAGGCCCATGGACACTGCGCACCTGGTCGAAGCTGGCACTGTTGGCCCTTGCCTGGTGAAGTTACATTTAGAACCTGTGATCAATTTTCATGTTTGTACCAGAGTGAAAGACACGTGGGGCGGAAGAGGGCAGAAATGTAAGAATGGTGAACGAAAAAGAGGTCACCCACTCCGGGGCGCCTCCAGGGCTCCTGGGGGAAGGGAAGAATGCCAAGTCATCTGTGCAGCACTGCTGGTCCTCCCATATTTTAGGTTTGGGGGGCATTAAGTATGCTTACCTTTTAGGACAACGTGCCCTTCCTATCTTAAGAGATCTCTGAGAAAATGCTTCAGCCTCTCTTGGTGCCCACCTCCCCATTCCAGCCCTGCTCAGGCCCACAAGGACAGCTCCCAGGCTCCCCACCAAGAGGGAAGAGCCCCTCAGAATCCCCACATCTCAGCAGATGAGTGGCTGCCGGGGGCCTCGGAGGGGCTACCTGATAAAAATTTTTTCTCTACCATGTCGCCTCCGTCATACAAGAGTCACTGAAGTTAGAGGTGGAAAAATTCTAATTTCCTCAGGCCCATTTCTTCCCTGGAGAGTGTAAACAACTTCCTCTGCTCTTGCCATAATCCGGTACAATTCCATCTCCCACCATCACAAACAATCCACTCCCACCTCGCTTTGGCCTGCAGCTGCATTAGACTCGGGACCATCAGTGGCCTCCCCTTCTTCCTCCGGGCTCCAGAGAGGGGTAAAGGAGCAGGGGAGAAGCCTACTGCCCTCTTCCCCAGGTAGATTGTTTCTTCTCATTTCCCACTGTGTTCTCTTGGATCATACTCAGAGAACCCTGGCAAACTGCAGTATAAGACCCCCTCTCCAATCTTCACATGTATACAGAAAAGGCTTCTAATTTTTTTTTTTAGTGAATGAGCAATTTTGCTTTAAAAAATATATATAGAGAAAAAAAGACTGGAAGGAAAAAATAGTGACATTTTAAGTCGTGGGATTATGAGAAGAAATTTTAATTTTCTTCTCCCAATTATTTTTCTTCTTTCAAACCATAAAACTGGAAACAAAGTAAGTTAAAACTTAAAAATATCTGTGACTAATTATATTTTTGCTGGCTTTAAAAAAATTAACATATTTCTGAATAGGTTTTAAAATTCCTCTGGGAATGTCTTCATACAATGAAATGATATGAATCATTAAAAAATTATTCACAGAATACTATATTTGACATATAAAGATGTTTCTAATATTAAATGAAAATAAAAGATTACGAAACAGCATAAAATATGACCCCAATTTTTGCTTAAGAAAGAAGTATATATAAATGTCCAGAGGGATGATCAGAAAGTTAGTCATGAGATTATTCCTGGACAATAGAACAGAAGATTTTCTGGTACCAGCTCTTGTTCTTTGCTTATTGCCGATAAGATGAACATGTACTTCTTTGAAATAAAAAAGAATATTTTTTCTCAATAAAAAAATAATCTGGGGCTTCCCTGGTGGCACAGTGGTTGAGAGTCCGCCTGCCGATGCAGGGAACACGGGTTTGTGCCCCGGTCCGGGAAGATCCCACATGCCGCGGAGCGGCTGGGCCCGTGAGCCATGGCCACTGAGCCTGCGCATCCGGAGCCTGTGCTCCACAACGGGAGAGGCCGCAACAGTGAGAGGCCCGCGTACCGCAAAAAAAAAAAAAATCTGAGGAATAATTTTAAGGTGAGTTTTTATTAAATGAGAATAGATTATATTATTTTTCATTTGTTCTCTATTCCTGAAGAACTTCAAGTTTTTCCCATTACAAACGTTATGTATATTTTTTATTGTCTGCTTTGTAATTATAAATTTGTGTTTAGAATGTGTTAAGTATTTCTACATCTCTTGTCAGAATGAGTTAATTTCATTAAAAAAAAAAAAAAAAAGGCTTCCCTCTCCCAGCAAACAGATTTGTAAATGAATAAACCCCTGATTTTTTTTCCTGTTTGTACCAGAACACAACATTCTGAAAGATCCCACTGACATTTAGGGTGTGGCCTCTAGCAACACCCAGTGTGTTTCCTTTTGTCCTCCAGGGGTGTCCGGGCTGAATCTCCCCACAGAGCCACCCCTATGGGGTAAGGCAGGATAGCAGTACAGCCTTCCAGCCCTGGCAGGCTGGCAACACCACTGTGTAACACCTTTGCGTTTTCAGCATGTGTCGGTGTTCAACTGAACCTTCTGCTGAGGTCTAGCAACGGGACAGCAGGTGGAGGACAATGGGCAGAGAATCTCTTCCCCATTTCCCATCAGCAGACAGAAAAACCCCATTCCTAACCAGAGTTCATAAATGTAAGTTGAAGTCAGAAGTCTCCCTTGTGGTCCTTCCCGGAGTCGCTGCTGACATTTGCTTAACTTAACTTGCACTTCTCTCCTTCCAATGCTCACCAACTGGAGACTGGACACTGTAAGAGGAGCCCTCAGGAAACGGTTTTGAGGCCAGAAAGGAGCTCTGGGAGTGAACCTGCTTCCCGCTGCGGTCCTGTAACGTCTCCTCCAGCCCCTAAGATCTGTTCAGCTCCCAGCCTCCCGGGGTGGGGTCACACCCAAAGGAAGCGGCACAAATAAGCACAATGCATTCTGCTGAAGAGCCTGGCTCCAAGTGTATTTTAGAGTCAAGTCAAAAGATTCTCGGCTAACCACTTTTTTATACTACCCAGCATCATCTCACAATCCTTTATACTTCGGTGTTACTTTATAATTTTCAAAGTACATTCTCCCATGAGATAATCAGCACCAAACTCTACAATTTTTTACCTCCCAAGTCATTTTTTCAATTGTTTCTTACCTAAAGGTAAATTAACTTTTAACCTTAATGCTGCAATATATATGATATAAGGCAAAACTTCTCAGCTATATTATGACGGCCTTTAAAGAAAAATAAAGTTATTTATTTATTTATTTTTTGCTGCATTGGGTCTTCGTTGCTGCGTGTGGGCTTTCTTTTTAGTTGCAGCAAGCAGGGGCTACTCTTCCCTGCGGTGCGCAGGCTTCTCATTGCGGTGGCTTCTCTTGTTGTGGGGCACAGTCTCTAGGCGTGCAGGCTTCAGTAGCTGTGGCACATGGGCTCAGTAGTTGTGGCTCGTGGGCTCTAGAGCGCAGGCTCAGTAGCTGTGGCGCTTGGGCTTAGCTGCTCTGCAGCATGTGGGATCTTCCCAGACCAGGGCTCGAACCCGTGTTCCCTGCATTGGCAGGTGGATTCTCAACCACTGCACCACTAGGGAAGCCCTATAATAGGCTTTTAATAAGAAAAATCTCAGGCACTGGTTTTTATGTTGGCCAAATATTTCTGGTTCTCCCCCATCCTGGCATGTGGGTAGGCTTGAACTTCCTGGTGCCCTTATGATTGTGACACTTTGGGGCAGATTCTAACTAATAAATTGAGATTGGAAGTGACAGGTGTCACTTAGAGGCCAGAACATTTCTTGCTGATGTGAGACCCTCTGTTAGTCTCCCTTCTGCCATGGCAAGCCGTAACATTCCAGATAGTGACTTCAGGGTCAGTCTGGCCCCAGGGGATAAAGAAGTAGGAACAAAGTTCTCATCCAACCTGTGATGGACATATAGTGTGAGTAATAAACCTGTTGTTTTAGGGCCACTAGGAGTTTGGACTTGTTTATTACTGAGCATAACCTCTCGCCTATCCTGACTGATGCAGTATCTTTGTAGGTTTTTCTGGGGGAAAGGATTTAAAATGTTCATCAGATTCTTAAGAGAATCCTTATTCCAGAAAAAGCCTGAGTTCTATTGAGCTAGAAATATAATAGAAAAATAGGTCTTTTTTTTTTTTTTAAGGAAAAATGAGGCAGGGTAGAAAGAGGCTGGGGGAAGAAATGAGACAAGAGGAAGGCATGCCCTTGGCAGAGTTACCCCAGTTATATTGAACAGCACCAGAAGGCTCACATGTTTACTGAAATTCCATCAGCTGCTTCTGTTCATGTGGTGTCATGGGCAGAAAACCTCTCCCGACCACGTACCACTTACATGACGTGATATAAAATCTCGAACTGAGTTTTGCATTTCTAATATAGTATCACAAAGTGATAGTGTGGATCAACACTAGGAGAAAACTAACTTGGGAGCAGAAGGGGCCTAGTGGGGTAATGAGGCATTAGCACAGGTCCAGAAAAGGCCCCTAAGGACTGGCCCAACTTGATGGAGTTCATGTGGGAAGACAGAAGGCATTCTTGGTTTGACCCTCACAAAACGGATGCTATTGGCAGCTATTCTTGTCAAAGCCGTGTCCCATCAGCTTTAAAAGGGGGACCGTCCAGACTAGTACCTATGGAGCTGTACAAACTTTTGATCTTTTCACTAGATTTCACACACAAGGAGGAAAGTTTTAAAAAGGAAAACCTACTGAAAGAGCCAAACAGAGAAAGACAGAAGCATGCCCTCCTCCCCAAACACACACCTACCCACAGATTATATTCCTCACTGACCTTTGAAAGCTGTGACCTCATGGTGGGACGCGTTTGTCATGCTAAGCAAAGTGGAAAACATGTTTTTAAAAACAATCACTGAGTCACGTGCCCCAGAGCTCACTATAAACTTGGGAAAACACCACTCCCCAACTGGCAGGAAATTCCTCATTAGGAAGCCAAAGTATACTGTCAACTAGCTCTCCTTCTACCCCACAGGATGGTGGGTGACCTCCCTGGCCCCTGATAGGTCTTAGCAGGAGCTCCTGATACTGCCGCTGTGGAAAAAGGACTGAATTTGGGAAATGAAGACTTTAGAGGACTTGCAACTTCATCGGAAAGACTGGACAAGTTTCATTTCCTAGCTTTGTGACCTTGATCATTTTGTCTTTACTTCCCTCATCTGTAAAATGGAGAGAATAATGGTTTCTACCTACTTGGTCATTGTGAGGATTACCGAGTTAGTATCTGTATGCAGAGTACTCAAGCGTGCACATTCGAGACCTTTCACGACCTGGGCCCACCACCCTTCCAGCCTGGCACTGAAGAAAGAGTTCAGGAAGGGGGTAGCTTTGTGTGAGGCACACTGACCCCACTACTCAGCTGCGACCAACTGACTGGCTACTTAACGCCCCTGGTCCTGAGAAACGGGATATGTGTACCTGGCAGGGTTGTATTTGGGGCGGGCTGAGCTGACGTGTGTGAAGAACTTAATGAGTGCCAGGCACACAGCAGAGTTCTATGCACGTCAGCACCCTCATCTCCCCTGGTCGAGCCCCACAGCCCAGCCCCATGGCCACAGGGGAAAGGTTAATGAGATGCATGCTCTCTTCTTTCCCATGAGGCCTTGACCTATGGTGTTTGGTATTCTTCACCCTGGGAAGTCATTCTACCCTTCTCCATGTGCTTAAATCCCATCCACCCTTTAAGGCCTACCTCAAATGCCACCTCCTCCATGCAGCCTGCCTGAATCCTGTCCAGCTAAAGCAAACTCTCCTGGCACATACATCGCAGTCCTTGCACGTACACTCCACTCTCTACTTTGCATTACTAGTGAGGCACGTTGTCTTATCTCCTCTCTCTGCTCAGAGACTCCCTTCTTGATGGCAAGGATTCTGTCTCCCCACACGCTCTAACACAGAAGAGGCCACAGCATCCAGTAGGAACTTGTTAGAATTGCAAATTCTCAGGTCCACCTCAGACCTATTGAATCAAAAACTCTGGGACTGGGGCCCAGAAATCCATGCTTTAATAAGCCCTCCAGGAAACGCAGATGCTTGCCAAAGTCTGAAACCACTGGAGTAAGAGTTTGCTGAATAGATGACTGAATGATGACTGAAAGTACAAGTGCCATGAAAATGCATGGGATGATAATAATAACAATGGCCAGGTTCTTATAGCCTCAGCCACGGCAGTGGTAAACAGGACCCTCACTTCCGCACTGATGCAGACCCAGGAATGACCCCTGGCTTAACGTTACAAGAGACTGAAAAGACACGGGAGTAAGGGCGCTGGCTGAAGCTTAAGGTCTGTGTGTGCTTGTGTGTCTGTGTAAAGTGGGCTCTGTGTGTGTATGTGTGTGTGCGAGACAGTCCTCAGCACACAGGAAAATTCAGCTAAGTAGTGGTATGAGGGTTGGCAGAAATGGCATTTGTTTTTCCGTGAGGCCTTCCCTGTAGGCAACTATGGTTAAAGAGGTACTTTGACAAAAACCCTGCCAAGGATTTCCTGGCTGAGATTTTTTTTCCTTCCAAAGGAAAGAGACAAAAAGAATAATGCAAAGCCCATTACTTTCACATTTCAGGCAAAGTTCAGAGGCAATTAGAGGGAACAGGGTTCAAAGCGCAAAAAGCACAGTTCTGATGAGAACTGAAAGGGCTCATTCCTACGCTCAACCTCCCTCCTCTACACATCAGGCCGAGGCCAGGTCCCTAAGAAGGAGGAAAACCAAAGAATTCCGAGAGGGGCAGAACACTCACTGGGCATCTTCTGACCAAAAAGCCATTTCTGGGCACAGACAAGAGGAAGTTTGGCTTTTACAGTCTCCGTCCCCCCAGAGCTTGGAAAGCATGGGCCAACTTGTACAGGGGTGAGTCTTTCCTCCCCGTCCAGACTCTGGTCTCCATCTGACCTTCTCCTTTCCCCGGCTGACCACAACTGGAGAGGTGATGAGCCACTGTGTAGCTCTTCCCCTGGCTTTCTTCAGGCCCTCGGGACGAAGTGCCTGGTTCCCAGACTGCCTGCCACCCTGCCACCTGGGTCTCCCTGTCCCAGCCGCCCCACCCCCAGCCCTGGCTTTGGTGACCCAATTCTGGTGGCTACTGAGTCTGCTCTGCCAACAGCCCAGGAGGCTCTGTCAATCTGAGATGGGGGCCATCAGCAACTCCATTCTTTCCGCAACTGATGCCGCCTGGGCCGGGCCCCAGAAAAACAAGCTGCAGCTCTATGGCTTTTTGGCAGCCCAGCTTCAACTTTTGTTTTAACAAGGGGTGGGAGGGAGAATTTGAGCCCTGCGGTTATCTGCATTTTGAAACATTTAAACACAGACTGTCCACCTGCCTGGCACTTTGTGTTTCTCTAGTGAGTCCCTCAGCCCCACCCCTTCTAAAATAGCACCAACAACTCCAGGCCTGCCTTTGCTGCTGCTTATATAATGCTTGCAGGACTGGTGGGGACATCTTGAACCCTGTTCTCTCCTTGGGGAGGAGTCTGCCCTTAGCCACCCCTGAGCCCGTCCTCAAAAGGAAAGGACAAGAGTGAGGAGAGGTCCTGTTTGTAGGACCCACTCCCACTGGCTACAAGATCCGTTTGCATTTAGAGGGAGAGGCTTCCCAGCCAATAGTCTAATTTCCTTTGCATTTCAAACAATAGCCCTTCTAGCTGCTTTCTGACCATATCACTGATGTGGGGGGAATGGGGAGATCAGAAAGGAGAAGGGGAAAAAGGGAAGAGATGGTGGTGATGGTAAGGGCATGGTTGACCAGCAAGCACAAAGTTTGTTTCCAAATGGAGGGAGTGATGGGGGCTTAGAATTCTCTGGGGAAACAGTTAGCGTTTCCTCTAGCAACAGACAGTTATGAGAACCACTGCATGCTGGTCACCTGGCAACTCTCTGCCCTTAGGACCCTCCCATCCTCCCCTTCTTTGTCCAGCATCCTACAGTGTCTCGTCTGAGTTCCAAGAAGATTAGAGTACAAAGGGCTTTAGTGACCTCTCCAAGCCTGGGTCACTCCCTGAAGACCACAGCAATGTCACCACCCTTGTGCAACTCTGGAAGGTGCAAGCAGTCCTGGCTGCCACCAAGCAGTGGCAAGACGAGGATTGTCTCCACATGGCACTGAGCTGACAGTAACAGGTTAGGTAGACTGGAGAAGCCTCTAGACACTTCAGTTTGTGATCTGGGGAAGGAAGAAAAGGGGCTGAACCTATAGACTCCTTCTCTCCAGGAGGGCTCTGTCGGCAAGGACCTAGGAAAAGATTATCCCTTTGAGAGGGACCCTCAGAAACAGAGGCAGCTCCTTGATGATCTCTGGGGAATTCTGGAAACCCTGGTGCTTCTTACAAGAAAATGGCATTACAGCCATCCACAGAGAGCAGCCCAGCATTCACAGCAGCTTGGCTGCTGCAAACCTCTCTTTGCAAAGATGACGAGCCTGGGCACCTGGGCTGGCCCATGAGAGAATGTAAGTTGTTGTCACTGCTCGGCACACCCAGGAGAGGGCATCAAAGAGAACCCCATTCAGGAAATTTTGCAGCAGACCTGCTAACCACGGCTTCTTAAGAAGGCTCAGGACCATGTTATCCGGTCTTTAGCGCATGGTGTCCGAAGAGCACCAGAGCTCTCCTCCTCTGCAGAGAGATCGCTTCTAGAACCTGGAAGCAGATTCTGCTCACCAACACTGCCACCAAGAGAATAAGAAAAGGGCTGACCAGCCTATGGTTTCCCAATGAGCAGAGGCAGTAACCGAGACCCTGGGATGCCAAGACATCCCCAGGCAAGGACTTACACCAGAGTTCATAGTAGTAGTTGCAGCACTGAGACTGTCCACAGCAGTGTCCTGTGTCACAGATGTAGCTTTGATTGTTGGTACCCACGCAGGTTTCCTTATCCTAAAAGAAATAAAAAAACACTGTAGCATATTAAATTATAGCTTTTAAACACTACTTTTCTTCTCATCCTCCTCTTACTGATCCCCTGCTCACCTTCCACCAAAACGGTTTGTACAAATGTTTATTGAAAGAAAAGAAAGAGAGAGAGAGAGAAAGAAACAGAGAGAGAAAGGAAGGGAGGGAGGGAGAGAGAGAGAGAGAGAGAGAAAGAAAGAACCACACAACAACAGCAGATTTAAGAAAAATAATATGGTTTATTAAAGGGGGAAGAGGATTCAGTACACAAAGCCGACTGGTAAAGAGCAGAGTTCTCCTCCTTGCTTTCTTTATATCTAAGCAGAAACACTCCACGTTCTGGTCCTAAACTCAGCCAGTAAGAAGGTGGTGATTCTCCTGTAATAGGCTGTATATTTTAAATAAATCCGGTTTCTCTGTGAAAGTTCCCAGAATAATGAAGGCAGCACGTATTCTAGGATTGGCATCTGGTCAGTCAGTCCATCTTCCCTTCAAAACACATATCTCCAAGGTTAATTACAGTGTGATTCAAAAGAAGGCTAAAAATCTTGCTACTAAAATTCTTTCAATCTTAAGAAAAGGGGTGACTTGCTCAGGTGACCTAGTCCAATTTTAATTTGCTAGATCCTTTTTTGCTTACCAAATGATCTCTTAATAATCTTGACTGGATCTAGGATTCACACTGTCCCTTGTCAGGGACAGCTACAGAAAGGGCACCGCTGAGTAACCATCTAGCATTTTGCCAAATTCTATTCACAGCACTGGTGGATGGGGATGGAGGTGGAAAGGTTTTTTTATATTTCGTAGTTAAGATATGAAATACCCCACCGGCTGACCTAAACTTCAGCCTCAAATGTCCTCTGGGTCACAATGCATATGATGAGACATAGAAGATCTGGCTTTCAACATTTCTTTGTTCTAAATAAGTAACACATGCAGTGACTGGACACAGTCTTTGTGCCAAGCACCGGGTTGGGTACGAGGGATACAACGATGAATAAGAAATTGTCCCTAACCTCAAGAGGCACAGAGCTAAGAAGGGAAAAAACCCTGCTCAGCAAAGAAACTAAAACCACAGTATTATATGTGCTGCTACTCAGGCTGACCCTGCCCACAGTGTACATCCGGGCGGACGTCTGCCAGTGGAAACTCAAGTCACAGGGTCGGTTCCTGTTCTCTGGGTCTTGCTTTATACTACGCTGTCTGTTTGGCCAAGGGTACAAACAAAGCACTCCAGCGACTGTCTACAGGGCTAGAGGCTGGGCACCTGAAGCCACGAGGACAAAAGAAAGGGCATGGCTACAACCCAGATCCCTGGCTCAGTGTGTATTTCCACCACATCCTCAGGTGTTTCCTGGTCTTTAAGAGTCTTACACCCTGGTATAAAGGGGTTTAGGAAGAAGGAAACATGGGAAAGGCATTTGTCGACTCTGACAATGAGGGTTTCACAATAGTATTGCAAACAGAGTTCTTCCTATCTTTGCCTTCCTGTGTCCGCCATAAGTAAAATGGCACACCTAGCAGGTGGCTGTCCAGTGGGATGTCTCCTCTGAGGCCTGACGCACGTGGAGAAGGCAGATCTGTGTTCGTTGCTTTTGCTAGAACACACCCTCTCCCTCTTGACTTCAGAGCAAAACACTGCTTTCCTAAGGACATCAAAAAGTTTCTCCCAAGTTTACCAGGCCCTGAAATGCCATTCTTCTGGCCTGGCTCACAAGAGCACAGTTCAAACTGTCCACATAGTTTCTAAAAGAGGCCGCGCTGCCTACACTCTGACACATGAAAGAATCCAGGGACACTTCTGCCTCAAGAAAATTCACCAGATGAGGTCCAGGCTCGGAACACAGGGCAGCCAACTGGTCCTCTGTGAGGCATGAAATGGAACGTGTCTGAAATCTAAACAAGTGGCATCCTCATGACCTACTGGTGTCAGCTTTTCCCTTGGCTCTCCCATCCCCCGAGGCAGGAAGCCCAGTGTAAACAGAACCCCACTCTTTTTCCCTGCTCTGCCTCCACTTTCCCAGGGACAGCAGACTGTGGCAGCATCACTTAACTCAGTTCCTCAAAATACTTTTTTTTTTTTTTTTTTCTGTACGCGGGCCTCTCACTGCTGTGGCCTCTCCCGTTGCGGAGCACAGGCTCCGGACGCACAGGCTCAGCGGCCACGGCTCACGGGCCCAGCCGCTCCGCGGCATGTGGGATCTTCCTGGACCAGGGCACGAACCCATGCCCCCTGCATCGGCAGGCGGACTCTCAACCACTGCGCCACCAGGGAAGCCCCTCAAATACTTTTTACCCAGTGTATCTCATCCCTTGCTTTCCTCCCCGCAAGTAGAGTCCCCAAGTTGCCTGAGATGATCTTGGTTATGGGAACTGTCATTTTCTGCTGCAGAAGGAAGGAAAGCAGGTAGGCAGGTAAAGAAGACAAGATGTGGGTTCATGGACCTTTAGCAAGGAAGACATGAAGGATTAAGAAGGTAGCGAGATGTGAGTGTCATGAGCTCCTCCAGAGAAAGAGACCTTCTGGTATGAAAGGAAAATCCAGAAGCCTTGTGTTTGGCCCTAGCTCTGCCATTACAGAGGAATGGCACTCTGGACAAGTTATTCAATGGCCCTAGAGCTGGTTAAGATGCTCACTCATGTCTCCTTAAACCCAAAGGGTTTATTAGCCTACCCACCTCCCATTCCCTTTGACAGCAGCCTCGAGCCAATGCAAGAGCTCCTGTAATCTATGCCTCCTCTCAGTCAAAGCAAAGAACAGAGGTGTGCAAATGTTGCTTGGTGCTCTTCCACCCTTCCCTGTATGAGGAAGTCACCCAGAGGACTTTCAAGGATCTCCAGGCAGCTCAAGATACAAATGGTAAAGATTCAGTCAGATCTGGGTTCAAAGCCCAGTTCTCACACTATGCTTACTACAGTGTAACTTGGGTAAATGACTTAACTTCTCTGAGCGCTCAATATCAACGTTATTCTATGAGCCATTATTGTTGGGCATGAAAGACCATTCAATAAACAGCACTCTGCATTCACTTAGAACTATTTCTCAGAAGAGTAAAGTTTACTGGCAATGTGGGCTGCTTCAGACACATGAAGAATAGAAAAAGGAACTAGAGAGAATGCAATGGCAAGTTCAAACATGAAAAATTCTCAGCACTCTTTATGAGCACCCTTTGCTTTTCTTCCAAGCATCTCCAAGCACTACACACATATTATGTTGTTCAGGCCAAGTCTTGAAGAGTGGGAAGTTAATATCCCACCCCACCCCCCCTTCTCAAGAGTGAACGAGAGTTATATCGTGCACTCCCTATGGGCAGGAGCTCTGTCTCCTTAATCCCCCTCCCCAACTCCAAGAATGAGCACAGTGCTTGGCACACAAAGGTTTGCTGAATGAAACAATGGCTATGCAGCCTCTGTGAAGGCAGAATGAGCTGGGGTGAATAATACGGCTAGTGTATACTGAGTACCTGCTATGTGCCAGGCACTGTTCTAAATGCCTTACAAGTCTTCCTTCATCTAAACTTGAAAGCACCACTATGAAGAGGGTAGTATAAGAGAATTGAGGTCAACAGAGGCTAAGTCACTTGCTGGAGGCCACACAGCTAGGAAGCAGTTCAATCTAATTCATCTGACTCCAGAGCCTGAGCTTTTAACTATTAAGCTACAGCCTCCTTGGTTTAAGTTATACTTCTTCACTTGCTTTTTACACTTCAGATGCTTAAATAAATCCACTTAAAAGCCCCAAACCAAACAAAATCAACATTTCGTCTTTGAGGGAAAAGATAAGGGCCCTGCCCTTGTGGAGCTCTTTGACTTTGGGAACATCTTCTGCTTGGCAGTGAGGAGGGGCAACATGCTTGGGCTTCCTCTCTTCTTTGTTTGAAAGGTCATTATTTTCACATACTGATTTTCTGAAAAGCAGAATGGTGTTTGTCCCATTGGGGGACACAAGGCCTTCACTCCTTCCTTCAACATTTACTGAGTACCTACCCTGCACCAGCACTGAACCAGTGGTGGGGAACACAATGGAAACATAAAAGGCCAAAGCAGTCACGCTCTTTACCCTCATGGAGCTTAAAGTCTAATGAAAGATGATAAAGTAATCATAGAGATAAAACTGTAGGAAGGAAAAGTACGTGATTTGGTGAAAGCTTACAATAATTAAGAACTAGGAATTAGTCAAGGAGGTCCAGAGAGCTGTGAGGAGGGTAAGCTTGAACTGAGATTGCCAGGATGGTCAGAAAGTTAGTAACTAGGGGAGAGGGATGGGAAGAACATTCCAGGAAAAGGAAATGGTACAAGAAAAGCCCTTTAGCTAGGAAATGGCTGAACAAATAGGTAAGGAAGTTAGGTAAGCAGGGACAAGATGAGATTTGCATTTTAAAGATACTTTTTTTCCCAGGCAATGTTTTCATTTGCACAAACTCCTGGCCCAAATATGCTAGAAACGTAGACCTGTCATAAAGAAACTTTGGGTGAATAACATATGCTCTTACGCTGAGGTCTTTCACCTCAGAATGACTGTGATGATGACCATAAAGATCCTCATTTGTTAAACGTGTGCCTTCAGCTCTGGTGCCGCGGTGACCAGCTTCAAGAAACGGGGCACATATGGTCACCAAACAAAAAGCACAGGTGTGAAGAAGCAGGAAGCAAGACCAACACCGCCCTGGAAAGAACATTATTTACAGTGGAAGAGGATGAATAGTATGCCTTTTGCACATATGCAAAAAGTTACCTCATCTCTTTGGCAGCAGCATAAACTATGGGACTAACATCATTTTCCTTAAGAGTTTCAACGTCTTAGAGTTGCTATTCTTACTGAGCCACTGTAAAGGTCAATTTGATCAGTGTAAGAACTTTCAAAGTGCCAGCATAAAAAGACACTGAGCAGTAATGGTTCCCCGGGCATGGTTTTAATTTGCCAATTTATGGGGCTGGAAAACCCTGCTAGCAACTGGCAACAGCACCTTCATGCCCTTAGGAAA